ATGATTTTTATTTCTTCTTTCCTTAGTTCTTATTTTGACAACCTGAAAGGTAGTCTCAATGAAAGCTTTCTCTTGGTGTAGCTAAACATTAGACAGGATTAACAAATGTTACACTAATCACCCATCACCCCCACACCAACAAGCCAAATGTGTGTGTGTGTGTGTGTGTGTGTACGTGCAACTTTGAGAGGTGTACGTTTAGTGGGAAAGGCAGGAATGCTGCCAAAAATCCTATAGTGATCTCCACAACAAAAGAATTACCTGTCCCAGTACTGAGGTTAAGAACCCTGCACTAAGCCAGGCAAGGTAGCACGCGCCTGTAATTCCGGAGATTCAGAGGCTGAAGCAGGAAGATGGTGAGTTCAAAGCCAGCCTCAGCAATGGCAAGGCGCTGAGCAACTCAGTGAGATCCTGTCTCTAAATAAAATACAGAATAGGGCTGGGGATGTGGCTCAGTGGTTGAGTGTCTGAATTCAATCCCTGGTACCCGCCCCTCCCCCCCAAAAAACCCCCCACACTATTACATGCATATATCTAATAGATGTTTCCAGACTGTCCAGAGTCCCTCACAGCATGCTTCATTTTCTAGATGATGGAGGCAAATCTGTCTCCTCAGAGGCCCACCACCATGTTGGGTGTTGGAGAACAGGTGAAACCCTGGAGAGTAGGTTACAACAGTATATATGAAGGCCACACTTGCATAAAAACAAGAGTCAAATGAGTAGTTCAGAAAAGTGTTTTGGGATTTTCTAGGAAGGTAAAGAGTTTTCTAGAATGGCTCTTCTTTGGAGATAGGACTTGCCATGGGCCTTGACTAACCCATAGACCTTATGGGTAGGAGAAACGGAAGATGGGAAGAAGAACCATAATATTTTGCTTTGGAAGTACCAGGGATATTCTAGAAATAAAACACAATTGGAGTAGAGTCCCAAAAGCCATACTCTTTTTCAGGGACTATGTACAGTACAGGTGAGTCAAGCCCTTCATAGGTATTTTTTTTTTCACACAGGCTAAGTGGTTTCAACAAGGAGGGCCTCATCAGAAAGCACTTGAGACAATAAGTTGGAAAACTCATGATTTTGATTTTGAAGTGCACCTGCCCTCATCCTGTGTTCTGAGTACACTTGCCTCCAGAGGTTGTCACTTATCTGAGAATATGTGTCACAGACGCCCACAGCATACTATTCTTTTCCTTTTGGTCATATCATCCCTCTGGTAACTTTTGCTCTTTGTGCCCCACCCTTATTGTTTTTATACATGAGGATCACTAGCCACATGAGAGAGAGAGAGAGAGAGAGAGAGAGAGAGAGAGAATTTTTTTTATGTATTTTTTTAGTTTTTGGCAGACACAACATCTTTCTTTGTATGTGGTGCTGAGGATCGAACCCGGGCAGCATGCATGCCAGGCTAGCGCGCTACCGCTTGAGCCACATCCCCAGCCCCTATTGCACATTGTTAATAGTGCATTCTTAATAACCATATGATGACAGCAACACCTTCAAAACCCTTTTTGAGTATGATAGTATCGGTTGAAAAGAAACAAAGATATATATATCTCCTGCCATAGTTGCTGACGACTTAAAACATTTTTAAGTAATCGCTCTTTGCCAGTAGGTGGCGCTCTCCTCCTTAAAGTGAATGAGTTCTGAATGAATACTCTCCCTACGCCCTCCACCTGCAAGCATGGTTGTAGTGAATACTAATCTGTCCCAATTCCTGTCCAGATCTTTTGAATTCATCCTCTTCATTCTCTGTCTCGTCCTCCCCACGTCTCCTATAGTATTATAATAACATAATCACCTCTTGCCTCTGCTACCTGTCCTAACCCATCCAGCACATCGCCATCAGAATCACTTTCCAGGAACACAGATTATCCACACTTGGGGGATGAGCTGGGGAGAGGGATTCTCCGTGAAGGCAATGAGATGAAGCAGAAGGGTCAAACCGGAATGATGAGGCTTTCTCCAGCCACCAGATTTGTCTCGTGTGGCTGCAGTAGGGCTAGGGAAGGGTAATGAGCTAATTGTGGAAAAGGGATTCAGTGCCTTGACGCTTCTGCCAAGTAGACCACAGAGAATCACTAAAAGATTATGAAGATGGTGGGATTAGAGCTTTGTGCTTGCACAAGATTAATGCGACCAGGCATGTGGATGGGCAAAGGAGAAGAGAATCCAAAGGAGATGTCACCTTACAACAGGAGGAATGGGACAGGAAACAGAGTCATCCAGCAGTCTTTGTGAGTTTCCTATCTTCAGATTCAATCTATTGCCAAAGGAAAATATTTGGAAAAAGGCTGGATGTAGTGGCACACACTTGTAATCTCAGTGATTTGAGAGATTGAGGCAGGAGGATCACAAATTCAAGGCCAGCCTTTCTCAAAAAATAAAAAAGGGCTAGAGATGGAACTTAGTGGTAAAGTGCCCCTGGGTTCAATCCCCAGAACCCCCCCCCCCCAAATAAATAAATAAATAAATAAAATACTGGGGAAAAAATGCATGTGAACATGTACAGATGTTTTCTCTTGTCATTCTTCTCCACAGTATAACAACTATTTATACAGTATGTAGATTGTATTATTTATTGTAAGTAATTTAAAGATAATTTAAAATATATGGGAGGATGTTTGTAGGCTGTGTGTAAATATTATACTGTTTTATAAAGGGAGTTGAACTTCTTGGATTTTGGTATCCACAGAGGATCCTTGAACCAGTCTTCCTGTGGATTCAGAAGGACACGTGTACATGACAATTTACAGTTTGGGAAACTCAGAGTAGTTCCTTCACTCCATCAGAACCCTTCATTCTAGAATCAATGTCAGGAAACACCTCGGAAAACAGGAATGGAGCCCACACATCTGGCTGTGATGTCCTGTGTGCATGAGGATGGTGGCAATGTATTGCATTGCCTTGTTACTTCTGCAAAAATGATCAGGTGCCCAGAGCTACACTTGTTTTCAAGTAAGAAGTAGAAAAAAGAAAAACAGCTTGAGCTGCTTCGTATCACAGACTTTCAATGTGTTATTATTCAACACTACAGTGTCAAATTTAGATTTTCCACCTCGAGGAATTCGGTTTAGCTTTAATTAGTTGCTGTGAATATTTCTGAGCCAACTCTGGGAGGCATTTATCTAGAAAATAGTTTCACTTAAATATAAACTGGATATAGGGTGTCATTTTCCTAGCAGGGTTTGTATGATGTTTAAAGTTATAAATTAATTGTAGTCATTGCAATGACCTTAGCCACAAGCCCATCATCATTATATTGGTTAGTGGATTTATTGATCATAATTTGTAATATTATACTATTGAGAAACCATCTGTAGTGCCATCCAAGCTCTTTTAGTAGCTGTAGGACCGTTAGGGTGTGAATATTGTTTGGAGAAAAGATGATGCTTACAGTTATTCTCATACAGGCAACGGATGCATTTTTTCATCTAGCAACTTTTCAGAAAAACAAGCTCCAAAATACCAGACAAATGAAAAACAGACTTCAGCAGCAACTTGCTGCTTCCTGAGTAACTAAAGAATGTGCTTCTTGTGGTTAAAATGAAGGATCTGTTTAATATGGATGAAATAACAACACTCCAGGCATTTTCATTGACATTTCACTGTGACTTTCTGAACTTAGGAGTGCTGACACGAAAACCTATTCTTTCTGCTCAGCAAAGCCTGCAGTCAGATTGCAAAGCCGGGACAGAAGAGGTATAGGCGACGTCGGGTTCATGTCTATTTTTCTATTTATACTTATTTTTCATTCGCACTACCGCACTTCCTAATTTCCTGGAATTCCTTCTCTGGAACCAGTTAAGAACCCAGGAAGGGTTCTCAATCCCACCGCCTCTCGAGCATTGGCGTTGCCTACCGGATTATCGTGGAAAAGTTAGTAGTGGGTATTTGTACAGACTTTCCTAAGGTCAAGGGACACTTTGTGTACCTTGGGTCCAGAAGCTTCCCAGAGTGGCTGGGTAGGGCACTGTGGCACCCAGGATATATTTGAAAACAGACTCAAAGCCCCCTTTTCCGATGCTCCCCTGAACCTGGCGGGCTCGGCTCCGGGGCAGCCCTGCAGTCTGGCAGCAGCCCGGGAGAGACATGCTGTTTTGTTTAAATCCTCCACATTCTTTGCCATTTCCCCATTGGCCGGATGGGGCTACCCTCCCCGCCGCGGCCGCTGCTGATGTCAGCCTCGTCGCGTTCGCTCCTCCCGCACCCACCTCTCCGGCCCCAGGCACACTGCAGCTCTGCGCGGACTCTCCGGCCCCAGCGAGGTGGCTGCAAACTCGCGGGCACGCACCGCGCTCGGGGAGCCAAGGGACTCGGGGGAGGGGACGCGCGCGGAAGGCGCCAGCTTCCTCTCGCCCGCCCCTAGCAACAGCCAGTCGAGGTTGGAGGCACCCGGGGCCCCAGCACGGCAGAGCCGAGGGGTGGCGGCGGCGGTTGCTTCCCTTTTCTCCAGCCGAGCCCTGGAACGACTCAGGGACTGGCCCTAAAAAGAGCAGGAAATCTTGTTTACCGCCCGGAGAGAGGAGCCGTTCGAGCCTTTGTCTGGAAAGTCTGCATCTCCGGATCCGGCTGCAATGTGTTCCTGGTGACATTAGCACTGGGCAGACCGGTCGGAGGAGGCGGGTAGCCAGGGTCTGCTCTGCTTTCGAAGGCGGATCGAGAGAGTGACTTTTATGCATTTGTTTTAATTTATGGAAATTTCTTTTTTTCCCCTCCCTCGCTCGCTGCCGGGCATGTCCTGATCCGGCGGCCGCTCCTACCGCCCCAGGCTGCCGATCGTAGCGTTTCCAGCGGGTCTCCCTCCCTCACTCCCGACTTTGCAACACCGCGTTCCGGGAGGACCGACCTCGGCGAGGAAGGAGGCGGGGGAGCCACGAACACCGGACCCAAACCTTGACATGCTCTCGGGAGGAGAGGAGGAAGCCAGGAGCTGAGCGCACCGCGAAGGCTGCTTCGCCGCGGGTTCCGAGGAGCGCCCTGCCTTGCGCCTGGGCGGCAGCCTTGTTGGTCGGGGGGGCGCCCCCCGCTTCCCGCCTCGGAGGTCCGTGGCCGGCAGGACCATGCTGCTGAAGGAGTACCGGATCTGCATGCCGCTCACAGTGGACGAGGTAGGTGCCGCGCCGGGCCTCGCCCGTTCCCGCCTCCCCCGCCCCGGGGTGCCGGTCTCCCGCCACCACCTCTCGGCCCGAGGTCCACTGCGGGTGTCAGGGAAACCCGGGTGGAACATTACCTCCCAAACCAGAGGGTTGGAGGGGGAGGAGGCAGAGGATTTGCCATTTTCCACTTATCACCCCAGCGCGGGAGGGCGGCGTTGGGTGGGGCAGTGGACTCCAGGTGGGCTCTTTGGAGGCACCCAGAAACCAGACTGCTGGGGATCACAATGCGCCAAAAGGAGCTGGTGCGCCCCCTCCCTCCAATTAAGAAAACGACTAAAGCAAACCCAAGAACCCAAGCGCGCTCCGTAGCTGGGGGATCGGGGGCCCCCTGCCCTGGCTGTGGGCCCTGCCACTCCTGCCCGCCCTCCGCTGTAAGGTCGGCGTGCGGGGTGCCCTCAGGATCTAGAGGCCCTCAGCCCCTAGAGGGAGCATCTCGGAGCCCTGGGGGTCCGTCTAGGCGACTGGTGGTCGCTGCTGGCCTGGGCGCCGCTCCCGCCACGCCCGCGCAGCAAGCCTCGGGCACCTGGCTTGTCCTTTTGCAAACCACCTGGCTAGGAAACTTTCTGTGTCTCTTGTTTCTTCCGCCGCGGGGAGCGTGGTCTGCGGGCGAACCCGGAGCCGCGGGGGCTGCGGCGCCACCACAGGAGGGCGCTCGAGCACGCGGTGCCGGGCCAGGGTCCCGGCTCCGGTCCTGCAGCTGCCGGGCGGGGGCTCGGTCTCCAAACGCTATTCGGCTTCCATTCTTCGGATCCCCCCAAGCAACGAGCTCCATCATCCAGGAAATGGTGACTCATGAGGGTTATTCTGGCCCGGTCTTCCCTTGCGTTCTCCTTCTCCCTCCCCACCTTTTTGGTGATTTCACAACTGCTTAGCGTCTGTCCAGGGACAGCGAGGAAGCGTGAAGCCAGTCGAAGCAATTTGAAACTCATAAGTGTGTTTTGGTGTGGCAACACAAATGAAATCAGCGACCCAAACTGTATTCGTGTTTAAATACAATGCATTTAAGCGGTCAGATATGTTATTATTGAGTCACTACTTTGTGAAAGGGGAGGTGCATTTTGTAAAGGGGCTATCTTCGTTTGTCATCTGGAACAATGTTAAGGCAAGGTCCTGATACAATCCAAGGCAAGATCAAAGTAGCCCGGAGTTTACAAAACGTCTCACAGGGACACTGGCTGCCAAGGAGGGCGAGCTCAGCTCCCACCATCACGATCAACCAAGCTTGGGAGTTTGCTGGCCTTTGAGGAGGGTCATGAAGGGTGGAAGCCTTGTGGGTGGGCAGAGGTGTCTTTGGGGTGGGGCTGGGGGGTGAATCTGACCTTGTAAATGGAGAACAGCACAGCTTTGTGGGGCATGAGGGAGGCAAATGAATAGAAAAGGTGGAAATTTTCGCACCTCCTGGGAAAACCCTTCAGAGTGGAGGTGTGTATGTGTATTTGGTCTCCTGAGGATGGATAGGAGTTTGGAATCTCTGAACATGTTGGGACTGCATGAAATGCCCCCAAAATGCAGGTGATAATCAAGAAAAGAACCAGTTCTAGAATCTTCTCTTTTAGCAACAAAATCTCTTTATCCTGGTTTATTTACATATTTATTTATTTATTGCGGTACTAGTGATTAAACCTAGGAGTGCTCTACCACCGGGCTACATTCCAGCCCTTTTAATATTTTATTTAATATTTTATTTAACAAGACAGGGTCTTGTTAAGTTGCTGCAGCCGGCCTCCAAGTTGCCCTTCTCAGGATTACAGGTGTGCCCAGCACGCTGGGCTGGCCTGGTGTTTTTCCCCAGGCGGAGTGCTTCCACAAGTACCCAGTGAAGTAATCTCATTTGAGTGATATAGGAGGAGGCCTTTCTTAACTGGCCAACAAAATCAGACTCCACCTGTACTAAATGTATAATTATAAATTATTTTGTGTATAATTCATTTGGACTAAAACAAGGATGATTCAGTTTCTGTGAGGTCATATGCTGAAGTCATTTTCTACTTTGTCAGAGGAGCAAAGGGGCAATTTACACAGGAGGGAAAGAATTCAGATTAATCAAATCGGATCATGGATAAGGAAAGTAGGCCTAGCTTGCCACAGGTTAGGTCCCTGAGCTGAGCTGGTAGCAGATCCTCTGGTCTCCACCACTGCTCCTGGCACCAAGTCCCACTGACCTCACCACTGATCACTGGGAGGCAGCTTAGGTGCCTTTGAAGAAGACCTTCATCATCAGTTTAGCTAGACTTTGGGAGGCTTAATCTGTGCTTCAGTTCTTGATTCACTTTGGACCCAGTTCAGCCTATCTGGAACTTCTGCATTTGCTTCTGTTTAACCACCACAGTTAATTAGTAGCAGTGTCCGTTTCCCCCCCCCCCCCCCCAAAAGAAGCAAATGCCTGTGTTTTGGAGAGTCAGTGTCTGTTCTTTGTCTCTGACCTTATCATTTGCCTACCTAATCTCCTGCTGGTGCTGGGGAGTTAGGGGGCTGCTGTGTTATTATTCATATTTTGCAGATGAGTATACTTGTGTGCTCAAAGCTATACAATTAGTTAACAGCCAAGCCAGGAGAGTCCTGGTTAGGCACATTATTTGTTTTTCCTTAATCTGCTCTTTGCCTGTCAGTAGCATTGAATCCAGGAAAGGGAAAAACTATTCTGTGAAAACAGATAGTTTCAGCACCCTCAATTAGATAAAAAATCAGAGGCCTTGAATTGTTATAGATTGTACTGACTTCTAATATTTCTGTAGCCTTATTTTAACACATAAAAATGTCCTCCAGTTCTAAGAAAAAAGAAGAGCCATGAGAGATCAAAGAAAATAAAGTTAAAATACAGTCTAGATCAGATGCTGTTGTATGCAAACATTAATTTTGGTGCTGGGGATGTAGCTCAGTAGTAAAACATTTGCCTAGCATGCACAAGGGTCTGGGTTCACTCCCCAGCACAACAACAACAACAACCATACACACATACACACACACACACACACATACACATACACATACACATATATATATGGAGAGAGACATATGTGTGTATATATATATATACACATATACTTACACATATATATTCATATATATCTATATATTTTTTTAAAAAATATAGATATATATGAATATATATGTGTGTATATATATATATATATACATATGTCTCTCTATATATGTGTATATATGTGTGTGTATTTATTTTTAAAAAAATATATAGATATATATGAATTTTAGAATAAAGAATTACAGCTGGGCATGGTGGCACATGCCTGTAATCCCAGGGACTTGGGAGGCTGAGGCAGGAGGATCTCAAGTTCAATGTCAGCATCAGCAACTTAGCAAGGCCCTAAGCAACTTAGCAAGACTCTTGTCTCAAAATAAAAAAACAAAATGGGCTGGGGATGTGGCTCAGTGGTTAAGTACCCTTGGTTCAATCCCCAGTATGAAAAAAAAAAATTACAAGAGGTAACATCCCATAGATTAATAATAATAATAATAATAAAACTTCATCGGGGTAGCCTCATTTGTGTTAAATGTAGTCCTCTCTGAACTAAATATAAACCTTTTGGAAAGTTATGAACAGGGAAGGTCCCTAGGGGCTGATGGTTGCTATAAAGAGAAAGTTGTCATTGTCTACATTTGAAGCATTTGGTGACATAGATTCTAGAATTTTAGACTGAGAAGAGCTGTTTAGCAGAGATGGTTTGTACTTGAGCCACTTCCTTTTACCAAGAACCCTAGGACTTCAGAAGGCACAGCAGTTGCCATCTCAAGGCTAAGGACAGAATTCAGGCTGGAACCTGGTTTCTGGTGGGAAGCTGTTTAACTGTTAGGCCACAGTGTCTGCAGTTTTCCCTCCTTGGGAAGTCCTTGTTGGAAGACAGTGTTGTCCCTAAGTCCTAGGTGTACAGCAGCTATGCTGGGCAGTCCCTAGATGAAGGTGCTTTGAGGACTCTGACCTTGTGTCTGCTTAAGAGACATATAACAGTATTTGGAACTGGAAGGGTGGCTAGGGGACTCTATATTTGGAACTGCCTTCATATAACAAGACATTGGTTGTCCTCAGATGGTATGGTTTTATGGGCGGCATTTGGATGTGTAGCTTGTGAAAGGTAATAGTGGAGTTTAGGACCTCCTTGCCCTCCCACCGTTCCTTGGGGCTGCTACTGGTCCTAGCATCCTACTCAGCATCCTCAGGATTCCCTGGAGCATGTGGGGGATCATCCCTCCCTGAGAAAGGTACTTATTAGTAAGATAAATGCCTCCCACCAGGCGCAGTGTGGAGCACACCTGTCATCCCAGAGGCTAGGGAGTCTAAGGCAGGAGGATCATACTTGGAGGCCAGCCTCAGTAATTTAGTAAGGCCCTAAGCAACTTAGTGAGACCCTGTCTCTGAGTAAAAAATAAAAAGGGCTGGGGGTATGGCTTAGTGGTTAAGCCATACCAAAAGTAAAAAGATAAACACCTCCCACGAGCTAAACACATCCTAAAACTACCCAAGACAGGCATCCTTCAATTTCTATTACTTCTTTTTTCTCTCTTTCTTTACTGTATAACAGTTCCTATTGTGATTGCATTAATATTAATGTGTGTACTTTTAGAGATTTGTGGTCTTTAGGGATTCGGTGCACAATGAAGGAAAACAGAAACACTCCCCTCCCCTTTAAGAAATGAAGAAAGAGAAAGAAGAAGGAAAAAAACAACTTTTTCATACAGAGTATTATTTTGCTCTTTGCCTGGCAGGGAGCCAGTGCACTTTACCCAGGCTCCTCCGGTCCCTGGAGAGTTCTCTTACGTACATTTCTGAGAACAGATTTGGGATTGGGGTGGTGCCACCTCTGGAGAGACACGAATGGAGATGCCAGAAAGCTCCCGGTGCTCCTTGTTCTCAGTTTGAACAATTTATTGTGAAATGCATCTAGAAACATTGGGGCAGAAAGTCTTAAAGGAACTGAGAACTGAAAACGTTGGAT